GCTCAGGCTGCGTCTGGCTCGGCACTGGCTCTCCAGGCTTCCTGCAGGCCTTGGCCTCAGATTCTGTTCCCCTGCTCTACAGCAGAAGCTCACACGATGGAAGAAGGAAGCTGGAGTCAGACAGCGCAGGTTCAAACCCAGCTGTGCCCTTTCGTTTCTGCATCACCTTGGGAAAAGTCCTCCTCCCCGGACTCCCATGCCATCACCTCCAAAATGGGGTCACAATCAGTGCTTTGCTAGCTCCTGTGAAGACGACATGTAGTGTGCACACCTGCTACAGTAGGTGCTCGATAAAGGTTAGATGCCTCTGTTCCAGGCCCACCTCCCACTGTGCACGTCTGCCCCCGTCACAGGCCCAGAAGTCCCACCTTCGCGTCCAAGACGGCCCTTGTATAAGGTGGCAGAAGGGAAGGTCATACAAGCCCCGGGCTCACAGGCAGGGCAGCACAACCACACATGAGGCGACCATGCTCCATGGCCTAGCACAGTCCCAGTGACTGTGCCTGGCATTGGGCTCGAGTGGTAAAAGATGAACAAGACCCATGTGACACATCTCACTGGGAAGCACACCAGTGTCCAGTCCAGACTACGCACAGAACCAACCTAATGACGGGACCCACGGACTGGGCATTCACACCATTTTCTGTGCACGGTTTCATTTCACCCTTCCAGACACCATCTCTACCTTACAGCCAGGGAACCCAGATGCAGAGTGAACGAACTTCATGAACTGCTGGGACTGATCTATGAGCTGCCTCAGTTTCCCCTTTTACAATTGTCTGTAATGTTATTCCTGTTTTACAGATGAGAAAACAGACAGAGAATGAAGCTAACCAAGGTCCCATGACATGCAAATGTAGGTGCTGGGATATTTGGACCCTAGGTTTGGACTGACTCCCTTGCTCCCTCCCCTCAAGAGCTGGCTCACTCGACCACTGTATTCTCAAAACAAATCAGACTGTGTCTAGCCTTAGGAGACCCAAGAGCTTGGGGGTGTAACTGGCAGCATCAGACCGCGGTGTTATCAGACAGAGGCAGGTAGGGCTGGTTAGGGGAGCTCACACCAGGAAGGTAGCAACTCTACTTTGAAAGAGTCCTGGAAGGCTTCCTGGAGGTGATGTCAGTGAGACCTGGAAAGAGCTGAGGAGCACAGGGAGCTTGGGGGCGGGCGCTACCTGAGAACACACCCGTCAGGGGCCCTTCCCAAATACAGGACTGCTTGGGTTGGTTAATTTTTATCTCATCCACTCTGCTTCTCTTCTCCACTCCTTACAGCAGAGGCTGAGGCCACATTTCCTGGGCCTCCTTGCCCAGCTTCTGGCGTAGGTGTGGCCAGTGGGAAGCTCCGATGAGAGGTTAAAGGATGGGGGGCACAGGCTGCTTCTCCCCAGACTGTGCTTGGGGAGGGGGGAGTGAAACAGATGGGATGAGGGGGAAGGAGAAGTAGATTCAGTAACTCCTGTTAAAATGGCCCACTGTGACCCCAGCTTTTCTCTGGGTGGCCCCAGATCCTCTCTAATCCCTCTCTTCCCTTTACAGCTCCAGCCCTGGGGGAGGGAGTGGTTTCCCATAGTCACTGTTCTTTAGTTTGCCTCAACCTCCCCTGTTGCTCTTTCTGTCCATTCACCAATTGACTAATTCTCCATACTGGATTCCCTCTCTAGAATCACCTGGCATGGGTCAGGTCTTCCAGGCAAGACCCCTGATATTTTGTATCCTTTTCTTTGTCTATAAAATTAGGGTTCCTTCATTCAGTCAACCAATGTATGAGTATCGACCTTGCGAACACGACTTGAGAAAGGGCACCACAGTCCAAGCGCGGAGTTTGAAATCAGATCGCCTGGTTGTCAAACCCACAAACCTACCTGTGAGTGCAAATCCCCGCAGGGATAACACAGGAAACTAGGCAGACTAAAAGGGGTGAGCATCCAAGTGCTGCCTTTTATCCTTGGGGCTGCCTACTCTGGACTCCCTAGCCGATGCTTGTGTACATGGCAGCCACTGCCTAGGGCTCCAGCTAGTCCCGAGTGGCCTGCTTGCTGACTCCAGGGCTCTCTGGTCCTCAGGCCTTTCCCTACTCCCCCTCCAGAACTGAAACAGAGAGAGGTAGGACAAATAAAAGGAAGCCTTCATTTGCGCCACAGGGAGTCAACTTAAGGGACTCATTATCCCAAGCAGTGGTAGAGTTTTAAGCTATAAATAGGTCTTTAAGAACAGGTTTAGCTAAATCCATAGATGGCAGCGGCGTAGGGAGAAGGTAGAGATGAGCCCCGGAGCACCCACCTTCTGATGGCCTCCTCCCTACTCCTGTTCTTCTGGGGTCCAGAACAGAGGAAGGAGCACTGGGCGGGGAGCCAGGACACCAGGGTTTGGAATCCCAGCTCTGTTGACCAACAAGAGTAGGCACACGTTACTTTCTTGCTCTTAAGCCCGTCTCCTCCTCTAGCATGGGAATCTCTGCTGTGGTGGTCAGTTTAAAATTGCATAGAAGCACCTTCTGCAGCACCGGGCATGTGGTAAGTGCTCCACGAACACCATGAGTGGGGGCCCTCCCTGGTGGCGCCATGGGTTAAGCGCAGCACTGAGGCTGTCTGCAGCCACTGCAGCATGAGTTCGATCCCCAGCCAGGGAGCTGACCCACATGGTGCGGCAGACCTCTCCGGCCTCACCTGCTGCCCCCCCTCAGCAGTGTATTTCAGTAGATCTGCCTGTTCTGCTCCCCACTCTGTCTCTGGTGAATCCTCTCACCACCCCTGCACCTCTGGTCTATACCCCAGTTCTTTATGCATAAATAAAACATAAAATAAACACCATGAATGTTGATTAGCTGCTGCAGGAGGCCATGTCTGGAACTGCAGCCCTCTCCATTAGACTGAGAAGCCTAATGTGATCTTGAGCAAGCTACCTTAGCTCTAGGCTTCAGTTTCCTCATCTGTCAAATGGGAAAAGAGTAACCACACAAGCTGACTCAGGAAAAGATAGTTAAAGTATCACTTAAGAACCAGATATTGTAGCACATGAGAAATAGCACCATAATCCAAGTGTGGAGTTTGACATCAGACTGCTTGGTTTTGCACCCCCTAGATTCCTTCACTGTGCTGTTTCTGGTTCATCAAGCGAAACGGAGATATAATGGCAACTACCTTGCAGTGTGACTGAGGACAATATACTAACAAAGATAAAGTGTTTAGAGTAATAGCAGGCAGAGTATTTTAAGTGTTAGTACCCCAACAGTTAGGGTAACCCCCAGCATACGTCTCAGGGTACCTACAGGGCCTGGGAATCACTGGCCTACATCCCACATCCAGCCCCACACTCCTGCCTGTATGACCTTGCACAAGTCACTTCTCTCTGAACCTCGGCCGTCTCTATTCCACTACAGCAGAAGACAGCAGCAGTTTTCTTAGGCTACCAGAACACAACAAAGCCCAAGCAGTGCTGGCATGGGGCAGGTGCTCCTTTGAAGTGTGATCCCTTAGTTCCGGTCCTCAGCATTTTCCTCCAAGGTCCACTTCAGCAGACACCTGAGCCAGAGTAACTCCACTGCTTCTGGAAGTCTCCCCATTGAGTCTCCCCGAGGCCAGAACAAGCTGCATGTTCTGGTGGGAAGAACCTGGAATTAGCAATGTTCCCTCTCTGGGTCTTGGGCTTCCCTCTGCTCCAGAGGTGTGTTACCTTCTCTACTGTAACTAACACTCAGCAATCTTATGATTCCGTGGCAAAGGTCAATGTTAGATTAAGCTTTAGTGGGGCTGCGCCCGAATGCCAGATATGCTTGGGAGACGGGTGGGCAGCGGCAGGGTGCACCCTACAGTGATGTGCACGGGCTGAGGCAGATGTACACTGGAAAACTGCCCTGGGCATGGAAACCAGCCTGCCATCACGCCACGGTTGAGGCAGCTGTGTGTGTATGCGGGTGGGGGTGGGGGGGAGTGGTTGCTTTGCAAGCCATATCCTCCTGAATAGGAGGGCAGAGGCCTCCAGGATCTAGTCCTTCAGAGGCTCCAGGCTCCACCTCTGTAACAAAAACCTGTTCCTAGTGAAGGACCCTTCATGCTGAGGTGCACACCTATCATAACAGCTTAAGCAACCTTTGTCCTTTCAAATAGATTTCCTTCCTAGACTTTTTTGTATTCTTTCCCCCCAAACTTGTATTTTTCAATCGAGGAAAGTAACTTGTGCGAGAGGTTTTAAGCAAGACGCCAGCCAAACCCCCTCACAAAACGCTGGAAAGGATCTAACAGAGGGTCGTGCCAAAGGCAGCACTTGTGGCTTCAGGAGGGGACAGACCTTTTCTTAAGGGCTCGGGCCTGCCCTTAAAGACCGTTACGGTCGGCCGAGGAGAGCTGCAGCTCCAGCTCTATTACGGCAACGGGCAACACCAGGCTCACGGAGGGCCAGGCAGCGCGCTCTCCACGTCCCCACGCTCCAGCCAGCGCGACCGGCCTCCCGAGTCCCTTTCCTAGCGGTGACCGTGGACCAACCACTTCCCATCGCCACACATCAGTTTCCTTATTTGAACAAGGATTCCATGCGCCATCTTCCCAGAACACAGTAAACCTAACAGGGAAGGATTCGACGGGGTGCGACCGAGCATAAATCACCCGGCCCGGAGCCAGCCAGACCAAACAACTGCACGGCCGCCCCGCCTCCCAGGTGCTGCACGGTTTTCCGGTGGTTCCGGGGGCGTGGCCAGGTGGAAGCCACGCCCCCGGGACTTGGGGCGGGCCTTCGCCGCGCCCAACCCGGCGGCCCGGGGAAGGGACCCAGTCATGATGTCACACATCAACCCTGCGTAACGCTCCGCCACGAGAGAAAGTAGTCCCCAACCTAGAAAGGACTCCGTCACCCAACCAGGAAACATATGGAACTCCAAACTTGCTTCTTGATCGATTATGGCCTTGAGGCCTCGGGGTGACCTTCCGGCAGGCTGGAAACCTGCCTTTCCCCCGACTAGCGTAGGAAGTAGTTCCGGCCCTCAGTAGGCCGATGGGTCCCTCCGCAGCGGGGGAAAGAGGATGGCGACCTCGTCGATGCCGGAGTCGGAGAGGAACGCAGCTGCGAAAACGTCGGGTGAGTATGGGGTAAAGTCAGATCGCCCCACTGCACCCCGCTGTAAAGTGGGATCACACTGCGGGAATGCCCGGAGGCGAGGTCCGGGGCCGGCGGGGCTGTCCGAACAGGGCCCCGGGGTCCCAGGCCCTTTAGTCGCTCTCGCACTTGCCTGAGCGGAAACCGGCGCCTCCACAAGATGGCGTCGGGCCTGGAGCGCAGGCAGCGCCGGGGACAGCCCCGAGTCGCCAGGCCCCGGACCGTCGCTGTCAGCCCCCTCCGCTTGGGAACGAGGGGAGGGGGGAGCAAGCCGCTGACCCAGGGGGCCTGCGGGCTGTACCACCTGTCCTGCACCCGGGGGGACTCGGGGTCCAAAGGGCTGAACCACTGAGCCGGGACAGGGCCCTTAGGGCGAACCACTGCGGGAATCGTGCAGAGGAGGAGAAAAGGGTCAGGACTACTGGCCATCGGCCACCCTCCGGAACTGGGGACAGCCCTAGATTGAGGGGCAAGGCTCCTCGGCCCTGTGTTCCCGCAACTCCACAATCTATACACTAGAAAGCCCCACCTGTTCGGAGACTCAGTGGTTGCATCTGTGAAATGGGCACAAGGATGCCGCTGAGTGAGCCTCGGTTGCCTGAACCCGGGAAGTGGCCCACCTGTACCAGCCTTCATCACCTCTTCTCGCAGAGTGAAGACCCCAGAGTCTGCGCTCCCCGGTCAGGCTGCCCCCCGAGCCTATGGAGGAGAACGAGGTGGAGAGCAGTAGTGATGCCGCCCCTGGGCCTGGCCGGCCCGAGGAGCCCTCTGAGAGCGGCTTGGGTGTGGGCACCTCGGAAGCCGTGTCTGCAGACAGCAGTGACGCTGCAGCTGCCCCAGGGCCTGCGGAGGCTGACGACTCTGGTGTAGGGCAAAGCTCTGACCGTGGCAGCAGCTCTCTGGTATGGATGGTGGTGGCCAACTGGTCTGGGTGGAGGCAGGGATTGATTGGCAGGGGCCTCAAGCAGCAGCCAAGGGTAGCAGCCTACAAGGCTTGCTTATACAGATAAGTAAAATCTATATTATATTAGTATATCTACATTAGTTTTGGTTTACTGTGAGCCAGGCGCTGTGCCAAGCCGTAAAAGTGGATTTTCTCATCTAAGTCTTACACCTTGTAAGGCACTGATCAGTCTTCTACATCATACAGGCAAGGAGACAGGCATAATGCATGCACAGAGCCAGCATTCAAAGCTCAGCTGTGGTCTAACGCACCATGATCTCACTCTTTTAGACGCAGATGGCTCAGCTCTAACCTCTGATTCACTGGGAGACCCCTTTGCAACTCAGTCTTCCCTTCTGTAAAATGGAGTGGGGATGTGCCACTTCTCATGCTGCTCTGTTGTGAGCTCCCATCAGACATTCTCCCAGACATGCTTTGTAAAACTCTTGCCATGGCTCTACCACTTCCTAACTGTGATCTTGGACAAACTACCCAATTTCTATCTCAGTTTCACATGTACTGTGGGAGTGATAAATAGACTTACCTAAATAAGGTTTTTATGATGGTTACATGGACTAATATATGGCCAGGCAGTTTTTTAAAAGTTCTCAGCACATAACAAGAACTCAGTAAATTTTAGCCAGTATTATTATTGTAAGATAATGATCATTTTCAAGCACTCGCAATATAGAGGTGTACAGTTAACAACTCCCATTTGGGCATCTAACGGTTTCATTAGTTCAGCAGTGAGGGGCCTACCATGTGCCCAGCTTGTGCTGGACCCTGAGGATACAGCAGGGGATGAGAAAGAAGTGGACCTCGTCCTTACAGAGGGTACGGTCTGCCTCCTTCCTGGCTTCCGAACGCCCCTTCCCGTTTCCTGCCCCCCAGGAGGAGGTATCCGAGAGCAGCTCAAGCACAGACCCCCTACCCCATGGCTACCTTCCTGATTCATCTTCTGTGTCCCGGGGGCCAGTGGCAGGGGTGACAGGCGGTCCCCCAGCTCTGGTACACTCCAGTGCACTCCCAGACCCCAACATGCTGGTGTCGGACTGTGCTGCTTCTTCCTCGGACTTGGGCTCGGCCATCGACAAGATCATCGAGTCCACCATTGGGCCTGACCTCATCCAAAGTAAGTTAAGCAGAGGGCAGCAAGCGTCACCCCACAGAGGTTTCCCTGTGGGGTCCGGCTGAGCCAGCTGTGCACACCCTAGCTCAGTGAACTCAGCAAGTAACTTTACACTTGGAGCATGTAACATGCAAACAGGAATCCTTGCTCAAGGGGTAAATGTCATGAGGCTTTCAAGAGACAGAGCGCAGACGTGTTCTGCATACTGCCCATCCCGGCTTGAGCCTCAGTAATGTTAGCACCTCGCGTTGGTCTGGGGTCTTTTCTAAACACTGCATACAGGAGCTCATTTAGTCCTGCCAGTAGCCTAGAAAGGTAGGTGCTCCATTATTCTCAGTTAAGAAACTTGAGGCACAGGGGACATAAAATAGTTGATCTGCCATCGCCAGCAAGGGTCAGGCCATGAGCTCAGACATTCTGACTCCAGGGCTGGTGCTTAAGCTTTCCCACCCTGTGCCTTCTGCGTATAAAGGCCGTAGCACCTTGAAAGGCCTGGTGATGGTCTGGAAAGCCACCCCTAGGGGGGTGGTGCAGGAGCTGGGCCTCAATCTTGGGAAGAAGGGAGGACTCTCCGGCTTCAATGGTTCAAGGTGGGCAGCTGGATAGCCATGATCTGTGTCCCTGTGGCCCATCCAGGGCCAGTGTGTTACCTGCACTTGGTCTCCCAGTGGTGAAGTGCAGAAGGGCAGTAGAGTGAGTCTGAAGTCAGGTAGAGTGAGTGCAGGTGGTGACAGTTGCCACTGTCAGCTGGGACTCCCCTCCCACCTCCCTTCCCAGGCTGCATCACTGTCACCAGTGCTGAGGACGGCGGGGCTGAGACCACCCGGTACCTGATCCTGCAGGGCCCAGATGATGGTAAGACCCCAGGCACCAGACCCCGAAAGCCCTGGGTGGGCAAGGAAAGCCACTCTTTGCTACCCACTCACTGTGGTCTTGACAAATTATCCACTGCTCTGGGCCTCGGTTTCCCACTATAACTCTGTGAGGGAGTTGGTTTCTAGGATCCCTGGGCCTGTCTTAGAGAAGCAGTTGTCTCTAATGGCCAACCTCCCCTCCCTTCCCTCTGACTCCCTCACCTACCCCCAGGTGCCCCCATGGCATCGCCAATGTCCAGTTCCACCCTGGCCCACAGCCTGGCAGCCATTGAGGCCCTGGCCGATGGCCCCACATCCACATCCACATGCTTGGAGCCACCCGAGGAGGCCCAGGGCGGGCCCAGCTCTCCAGCACAGCCACCCCCAAGCTCTGGCGCGGAGGAGCCTGACCTGCAGAGCCTGGAGGCCATGATGGAGGTGGTGGTGGTGCAGCAGTTCAAGTGCAAGATGTGCCAGTACCGGAGCAGCACCAAGGCCACGCTGTTGCGCCACATGCGGGAGCGGCACTTCCGGCCAGGTGCCTACCAGCAGCCTACCTGGTGGGGACCGCACAGGTCGGGGCGGGGCCCAGGGAGCCGGGCTTGAGACGTATCTTACCACCCTGCAGCGGTGGCTGGCAAGAAAGGACGGGCACGGAAGTGGGGTACCCCCGCCAAGCCCCAGGAGGGGGAGGGGCCAGAGGAGGAAGACGATGACGACATCGTGGATGCCGGTGCCATCGACGACCTGGAGGGTAGGTCACCGTGACTTCCTGGCCTGTCACCCCACCCCCACCCATAAACACGGAGCTCCTCCAGCCCACACCAGGGCCCAGGAGAGGAGCTGGCAGACACACAGATGCCTTCAGTATAAGACAGAGGAGTCGGATGCCTGGGACCGGGGCCTCTGTGTGAGTCTGGGGGGGCTGCGCCCTGCCAGAGCCCCACCGTGAAGAGGTCCCATGCGCACTTGTGCAGCACAAGTAGAATGCAGGAAAAGGTGTGCACCTGCTTTTTGGAGCCATGTTCTTTTACACATTAAAAGGAAAAGATGAAAATAATTGTATTTCGCTTGCCCAGTACTGCCAACACTCAGTTCCACATGTGGTGGTGGTGACATGTCACTAGGGAGCAGCTTCACTTTCTTCATGCTCCGCCGTGGAAACCATGTGCCCTTTACAAGCCACCACCCCCCTGAGACTAGGCACACATCAGGTGCGCTGATCGCGCAGCCCGCGGCCCCGGCCTGGAGAATGCTGGGTAGTGCCACAGAGGTGGGCGTGCACGCTTGTTAGCGCTGTTCTCTAACGACAGCCGTAAAGTTTCTTGAGGTAGGGCCACCTTTTCCTAGTTCACATAAAGCTGCTGTACGCAGTAGTGGAAGGTGTCAGAGGTATCGGGCTTGGGAAGGACGGTGCGAAGCCAGCGGGGCTGGAGGGGGCTTCCGGAGGGAGGCAAAGCTCGGTGGGTGGGCTCGCAGAAGGAGCAGGCGGGAATGGGGAAGTGGCCAAGAAGTCAGGGTCGAAAGGGCAGTTCCAGCGCCGGTGCCCACTTACTGTCCCTCCAGAGGACAGCGACTACAACCCCGCGGAGGATGAGCCCCGGGGCCGGCAGCTCAGGCCCCAGCGCCCGGCCCCCAGTACCCCAAGACTCCGGCGGAGACCTGGACGGCCCCGGAAGCTGCCCTGCCTGGACACCTCGGACCTCCCGGATGGTGAGACTCGGTCGCCAAGAGGCTGGTAGGGTGGGACCAAGGGGTGTCTCTCCCTGCTTCTGGGGAGCCCTGGGGACTGAGTGTGCCAGGCAGAGTAGTACTTTTAAACCTGGGGGACCTGCAGGCCTCCTGGTAAAAGGGAAATCCCCCCAGATTATCCCCAAGAAACCCCGACTTAAGAAGTGATACATCCGCTTTATGAAAAGGCCTCTCTGTGGTCAGTTGGCGTTGGGGCGTTTGTCATTGAAGGAGCAGGATGAGTCATGTTACTACTGAGGTGAGAACAAGCCTGAGGCTTGAGGCTAAGTACAAAGAGCCCTGGCTGGGACCACTCCAGGAGGGACGGGAGAGCCCAGGGGGGAGCGCCAGGCCGGCCTCCGCTGCCAGTGTGCGCCCTGGGCACATTGCCCTCCCCCTCTGGCCTCCTGCTGCTTTTTACAAGGCGGGGAGCTGACGGGCCTCCCTGTGGGACTGCTGTGAGGCTTAAATATGCCTGAAGCATGGTAGCTATTTCTGCACATGCAACTTACCGCCTTTTTAATTTTAGTCTCCTTTTTAAAATCACTTTCCTCAAGACCAAGCACAACTCAGTACATCAGCACAAGTGAACACACTGACCAACCGGGGACCCAGTCGAGACAGCATGTCACCAGCGTGTCTATTTTTAAGACATTCTGTTGAAATACTGTTGCTGCTTCAGTCAGTAACACGCCTTCAGCTTTTGGAGGGTTTGCGAGTGTGGACCATCCTTTTCCTCCCCATCCGCCCAGGCCACCCAGCCTCCCCCAGGAGCACTGAAAGGCTAAAGTGCTGCTGCTTCCCAGACCCTCGAAGGTTCCCCTGTGGTTGCTTTCGGGTTCGGGTAGTTCTCGTTCCATTTGACCAGTGGGGGAAGTGAGCCAGAGAGGAGCCCTTGCCTGGGGACACAAGCTAGTGGGTTGGGCTCCGAGGTCGCCCCAGGGCTCCTGCTTGCTGCTGCTCTACTGTCAAGTTTAAGTTCTGTGGTTCTAACAGCAGGCCAGAGGAGGAGTCTGTCTACACGGCCCTCTAACCGCGGCCTGTATGTGTCTGTCCCACAACCGGAATCGCCCATTGGTCATCCGTGCCTGGGGAGATAGTTGAGCTGGCCTCCGGTGTGCTTGTCCACATCTGTCCTGGTGTTTGGTGGCTGATTGCTGATGTGGCGTGTCTGTGCCAGGTGTGGACGGTGAGCCTCTAGTGAGTTCCCAGAGCGGACAGAGCCCTCTGGAGCCACAGGACCCCGAGGCCCCCAGCTCCTCAGGCCCAGGACACCTGGTGGCCATGGGCAAGTCTGATTGTGCCACCGTGGAACCCGCTGTGAGCCAGTCGGATGCAGAGAACACGCTGCCCTCCTGCCCGGAGGAGCCTGACCCCCCCCCTCGCCGCCGCGGTCGACCCTCCAGGCGCTTCCTAGGCAAGAAATACCGCAAGTAGGTGGAACAGGGCTGATGGGAGGAGAGCACAGCTTGTAGCCCCAGCCCAGCGAGACTTCTCTCTCGTACCCTCCTGGCAGGTACTACTACAAGTCGCCCAAACCGTTGCTCAGGCCCTTCCTGTGCCGCATCTGTGGCTCCCGCTTCCTGTCCCATGAGGACCTGCGCTTCCATGTCAACTCCCATGAGGCCGGAGACCCCCAGCTCTTCAAGTGCCTGCAGTGCAGCTATCGCTCCCGCCGCTGGTCCTCCCTTAAGGTGCAGTGGCTGGGAGGGGCTAGACAAGGGGGAGGGAAGCTGGATGCAGAAGGCAAAAGCTGGCTAGCTGGAGGCACCAAGAGGGAGCAGAGTTAACACACCCTAGGCACCTCCCCTGCTGCTTCAGAGAAGCCCGTCTGGCCACTGGTGCGCTGAAGAACATTGAGTCGGGAGAGGGGCAGGGTGGGGCCACCACGGGGGTCTGCAGCTGCACACTGCGTGTTGACGTCACTTCTCAGGAGTGCTGCTCACCTTGTGGACATACCTTTGCTTGTTCGCCACCACGCTGGCAGCGGGCAGAACTGGTTTGATCCAATTGTGCGCATTAAAGAGCATTCCAGCAGATGGCAGTACTGTACCTCAGAGAATACGTGGCTTTTCTTCCCCACCCACCGGCCGTGCCCTCTGGGCCTGCCGCTGTCCAGAGCCTGTCTCCCGTCCAGAGCCAGGCCGAGGGGCACTCGGCTCTCACCTGCACACAGCCCACGAGGTCCCATTGTGTGGCCCAGGAAGCAGCTTGCCTTGGCTTCCAAAGTAAGGCGGCGAGTTTGATCATGGGGCTGGGGTCCTTCCAGCACAGGTCCCTCTGCGCTTTCTGCACTCGGGCCTTACTCTCTCCCAGATAGGGAGCTGTGACCTGGAAGCTGTAGGCGCAGCGGGCAGGGCTAGACCCTGCAACTGTGCCTGGTTTGGCTCCAAGTTCTGCCGTTCACAAAGTCAGGGCAGGCCCTCGGCACGTTGCTTTACAGAGCCCCACTTTCCGCCTCCGGACGTGGTGAGCTGGCGCGTGGCCGGTAGCCACGGGCAAGCCCGGCCCTGTGGAGCCGGTGCGGAGCCGGCGCCCTGCTTTGGCGCACCCGTCGCCCGGAGGTCTCAGCGCTGCAGCTCTCCTTACCTGCCAGCCTGCTCTGCAGCGCTCCGAGGCCCTGGGTGTGGAGGGAGCCCGAGCCCCAGCCCACGGTCCTCTTGGTTCTCTCCCAGGAGCACATGTTCAACCACGTGGGCAGTAAGCCCTACAAGTGTGACGAGTGCAGCTACACCAGTGTCTACCGGAAGGACGTCGTCCGGCACGCGGCCGTGCACAGCCGGGACCGGTCAGTCGGCGTGGTGGGGCAGGGGCAGGTTGGGAAAAGGCCCAGAGTAACTGGCTCCCGTTCGCTGAGCCCTGCTCTGGGCCGGCCCTGTCACAGCACGTTGCCGCTGTCAGCAAGGCTGTTCTCCCGGTCACCTTGCCTGGTGCAGGGCAGCAACAGGCTCAGGGTCCCTCTTCATCTCTGCTGGTTCCCCATCTGTAAAGTGGGGATCGTTGTTGTTGCAGGATTTAAGGCACTTGCTTTTTTAAAAAGGCTCAGTAAATGATCTAAAGAACTTGTCTCTTGAGCTGAGAGAGCAGACTCAGGACAAGTGGGTGAAAAACAAAAGTCCCGCAGGGGCAAAGTGACTGTCAGTGGATTAGAATTAGACCTGCAACTTCAGAAACTTGTAGTGGGTAGAGGGTACGAGCCGTGAGGACAGACACCCAGCCGTGTGTGGGAAAGCCAGCTCTCCCAGTGCATACAGGTCCTCTTTAAAAACAGTTGGGGTGGGGGGCTCTTTTGTGGCACAAGGGGTTAGTTAAGTTGCAGCACGATGAAACTATTTGCAATCGCTGCAACATGAGTTCAGTCCCGGGGCAGGGAGGGACCCACAGGGCGCAGCAGGCCTCTCCTGTCCCTCTGCTGCCCCCTCAAGCAGTCTGTTTGAGTCCATCTGCCTGTTCTGCTCCCCACTCCGTCTCTGGTGAATCTTCTCACCCCCGCACCTCTGGCCTGCACCCCAACTCTTGTGTGTGTAAATAAACTTTTTAAATAGTTAGGGCTACCAGGGTGACCACCTGGTCCCAGAACGCTCTTTCCCGTGGAATTCTCAGAGCCCTAAATGTGCAAACGTAACTTGTGACTGAGAGAAAAGAAGCCCCACCCCAGATGTGGCTGAGACCTGAACTCACCCACCCAACTTACCCGCCTCTTAGCATCTCCTCAGCAAACTCCAGTGGGAAACAACTGTCCTAAGAGAAAGGGGTTTGTTCTGAGGAAAGGGGCTCTCGGGGCTGCGGCCGGGGGGTCTGGTGGATGCTGAGATGTTCCAACACCTGTGTCTTTCCCCTCAGGAAGAAAAGGCCAGATCCGGTGAGTCTGGGACCTGGTCCGGGAGGGAAGGGCATCTTGTGGGGTGGGGGCGGGTGCACAGCGCGGTCGTCCCTCCCCTTTCTGCACCTGACCTCTTCTGGTTCCTCCCCAGACCCCAAAGCTGAGCTCCTTCCCCTGCCCCGTGTGTGGCCGCGTCTACCCCATGCAGAAGAGGCTCACGCAGCACATGAAGACGCATAGCACGGAGAAGCCGCACATGTGTGACAAGGTGGGTGTGGCCGGCCGGGTGGGGCCGGGCCTCGCCTCCCTGGGCCGCCCCCTCTCACTCACCCGCCCTCACAGTGTGGAAAGTCCTTCAAGAAGCGCTACACCTTCAAGATGCACCTGCTGACACACATCCAAGCTGTGGCCAATCGCAGGTACGCCCCCAAAGAGGCCGCCGCCTGCAGCAGCCCCTCCCCACACCCCCCTCCCGCTGAGCTTCCATCACCACACACCTTCAGATTCAAGTGCGAGTTCTGCGAGTTTGTTTGTGAGGACAAGAAGGCCCTGCTGAACCATCAGCTGTCCCACGTCAGCGACAAGCCCTTCAAGTGCAGCTTTTGTCCCTATCGCACCTTCCGAGAAGACTTCCTGCTGTCCCACGTGGCTGTCAAGCACACAGGTCAGGCCCGCTCTCGCTCACCCCCTGTCCCCAGTGGGAAGCACAGCTGCGTCTTTTTCCTTGCTGACCTCGGCTCAGGTGCAGCTCGGCCAGCTCCTGGCTGGGTGACCCTGGGCCAGTCACTTGCCCTCTCTGAACCTGCCTTTGCTATGCGGCAGCTACCATGTGGTGGTTCTAAGGGTGAGTGCTAGGTGTGCCCAGAGAGAGCGGTGCATTTCCCCTCCTGCCGCAGAGGCAGCAGCAACGGGTGCTGACTCGGGGTGCCAGGGACCCCCTTCTTGGTGCTCAACCCTCTGGCGGGCACACTAGGGAAGATTCGAGAAAGGAAGCCAGAGCCTGCCGGGCTCACAGGAGGGGCTTGTGGTCACGTGACTTGAAAGCAGGCACGCAGGGTGGTGAGAGCCGCCTGCACCCTCTCCCCGCCCTGGCCCACCCGAGTGGGTGGCGGCCTGTGTTCGCCGGAGCTTGAGCAGAATCACTGGGGTGAATCACTGGAGACGTTCTTGGGTCGTGGAAGGCTTCCCCGAGTGGTGGGGGGCGGGGTGCAAGTGTGCCCTCATGTGTGCCTGTAGGGGCCAAGCCCTTTGCCTGTGAGTACTGCCACTTCAGCACTCGGCACAAGAAGAACCTGCGCCTGCACGTGCGGTGCCGACACGCCAGCAGCTTTGAGGACTGGGCACGGCGCCACCCTGAGGAGCCCCCCTCCCGCCGTCGCCCCTTCTTCTCTTTGCAGCAGATTGAGGAGCTGAAGCAACAGCACAGTGCAGCTCCTGGACCACCTCCCAGCTCCCCAGGCGCTCCCAAGGTGAGCTCAGGCACGCAGGCAGGCGTCGCGCACCTGTCTGCACGCAGGGCGCGCCCGCCGCATGACCCCCACCGGCAGCTCTGCCGAGGCAGCCCTCAGCCTGCAGTGGGGGTGGCCTTCCCTTGTAGTTAAGAATGGAGTTCTCACTAGCGTCGCCGTGATCACGGTTCATCGTTCCCAGACACGATCCATAGCAGCCGGGGCTGCTGTGGTGGCCGCGTGGTTGGCCATCGGGGACCGCGCTTTTCTGTTTTTTCCCAACTATTCTAAGCATATGACTTTCACCTTGGGGATCACCTCACGGCCCAGGATAGCTGCAAAAGTGCTAGCTCTCCTAGCCACATCCCAAGCCAGCAGAAAGGAGGGCTGGCGGGAGAGACACAGGACACCACCATCTGTCCGTCTGTCTTCCTCGCCAACATGCCGACTGCTCCTCACCCCGCTGAAGGGAGGCTGAGAAGTGCAGTGCTGTACCCTGTACTTGGCCCGCCCCCGCCCCACCCCCGCCCCCCCAAGCAGTGGCGCTCCCCCAAGTGCTGGCAGTCGCAGGCTCTGGAATCAGACTCGTTCTGCTGCGTACTAGCTGTGGGTCACGTGCCAGAGCTTCACCTCTGACCTCATTCAGCTCACCTGTATACTATTGAGCTGGTAAATGCCTTGAAAAGTGGCCGAGATGAAACCAGCTAACCGATGTAAAGTGCCCGACACATAGAAGGTGTTTGCTAAATGGACTTGAACCCAGCTGCCCCCTTTCTGACCTGACCATCCCCAACCCACAGGTTCCCCCAGAAGCGGCACCTTTCGAGACACCCGAGACCCCACTGCTCTGTTCCGACACCCTGGGGGGTGCCACCATCATCTACCGGCAAGGTGAGGCGGGTGGGGCCCAGGTGCTCTGCGAGCAGGGCTGGCGCTGGGTGGGGCTGGAGGAGGGGGTGGGGGCCCTGGGTGCCAGTTTTCCAGCCCTTTCTAAGGCTCAGGTCCCACCCGACCCAGGAGCTGAGGAGTCAACTGCAATGGCCACGCAGACGGCCTTGGACCTGTTGCTGAACATGAGTGCGCAGCGGGAGCTGGGGGGCGCCGCCCTGCAGGTGAGCCACCTGGGTGTGTCCTCCCACCCCACCAGCTCTGCACAGGACAGAGTAAGGGAGAGCCACGGAAGTCGCTCACACCGTGGCCTCGGGCATAGGCAGAGCAAAGGAGGGGGACTGGCGTGTCCCCCCTCAGCTCCAGCCAGGCGCTTTGGGACCCTGTTCTCATGTGGTTGACCTCTTAGCTCAGGCTGCCCCGGCCTGTGGTTTGAGCGCACTTGTCCACTCAGCCAGCCGGCGTCCAGTGGCTGAGCACATGCGCTGAAGCAGCACAGCCCCCACCCCCACCGCCTCACCCACTTCCGCTCTCCGCCCCCTGCGCAGCCCCGCTCTGCTCTGGGTGGACTTTATCGCGCCTCCTGGCTCCCTGCGGCTGAGAAGACGCAGAGCGGGACTTGAGATGGTGAACTCCCAACACTGGCAGCAGTAACATGCTGCTGGGGGTGGCGCAGAACACCCCAGGGCGGGGGCGGGGGCGTCACAGCGTTTCACTTGTGGCTTTTTGGGGTACATGTACATGGGAATTTTGCCTTTAGATGGTTAAGTGTCTTTTCTGGTTCTTGCCTTTGGCGTCATCCCTAGAAAGGCCTTCGCCGGAGATTGCGTGAACACGCCTTTGTGTTCTCTTAGGGTTTTGCTTTTACACTTAAATCTTCACCTGCAAGTCCTATTTGGTGTGTACAGGAAGGGGGGGGTGCGGAGTGGCATACTGGATACTCTTCCCCCAGTCCAAGCGCCCCCTTTGTCACAGACCACATTCCCACGCAGAGGCACGTGCGTGGGCCTCTCCTGTGGCCCCTCTGCTGTTCTCTGACCGGCATCCTGCACTCAGGGCTTGGGCTTTTTCTTCCCCGTGCATGCACACGCTCATGAGCAAAGAAAGTGAAGGTGAAAGTCGCCAACATCCTCCCCCCTCCGCAGAGCACCTGTCCCTGAGGTAATAGGTGTTTTTCCAGGGCCCTATCCGTAGGCAAACCAATAACTTGTAGACCTTTTGGGTATTTTTTTTTTTTTAAAGATTTATTTATTTGTGCATACAGAACTGGGGTACAGGCAAGAGGCTCAGGGGCGGCGAGAGGCTTCACCAGAGACAGAGTGGGAAGCAGAACAGGCAGATCGACAAAGTACACTGCTGAGGGGAGCAGAGGGCGGGCCAGGAGAGGTCTGCCACGCCATGTGGTCTCCTCCGGGGCAGGCGGGGATCGAACTCATGCGGAAGTGGCTTTAGCTTCTTATTGCAGTGCTTTAACCCGCTGCGCCACCAGGGAGGGTCCCCCTTTTGGGTATTTTTTAAAGATTTGTTTATGTATACAGGAAACTTGGGGCGTTAGTTCAGGGGTGTAGGAGATGAGAGTATTCACCAGGACAGAGTGGGGAGCAGAACAGGCAGATCTACTGAAACACACTGCTGAGGGGAGCAGCGGGGAGACGAGAGGTGTGCCGCGCCATGTGGGTCAGCTCCCTGGCCAGGGAAGGAACTCGAGCTGCAGTGGCTGCAGATGGCTTTTTAGCACTGTGCTTTAACCCACTGGGGCCACCAGGGAGGCCCTGAACACCTTTTTTGGTCCTTTAAAAAGTGACAGTCTGCATACTCATCACCAGCCTACCTTTTCTCCCCTCAGCCTTCTGGGGGTCCTGACCAGTCTTTAGTCCTCTATGTCCAGGCTGTTTGCAGTCTCTCATTAGCTCTAGGCAGTGCTTGGGGCACGTGTTTTCAGGTTCACGAACACCTTGTTGGCTTTTCTAGAAGACAGAAGCCTCGGGTAGAAGGGATAGGCCACACGCTCGTGATTCCCGTGCCAGCTTTGCCATCACCACTGTTTCTCTCCACGCCTTCACCAAGCTCGGGTGTCCTTTGTTCTCTCTTCAGATGCGATAGCAGTCTTTGTGGTCTTGGGATCTTGACATCATAAATGAGCTTGAACTTCCTCCTGTATGTCCCTAGACCTTTCGATTTCTTTTCTTGTGTTGCGTGCTGTCTTTATGTTCCTCTTCACTGCTTGCCCGCGAGAGCCCTTCCTACGTGGGGAACATCCACCTTTCCACCTTTCAAGTTAAATCCCTCTCCGTGTCTTTCTGATTTCACTCCGTCAGTTGGTCTTGCTGTGGCTGTCAGCATTTTGTTCCAGCATGGTTAGAAAACTCGCCTCAGGGTTACAAAAGTACTTCATCTACACTTTCTTTCATTGTGTTTAGAATTTTGCTTCTTACTTTTCAATATTTAACCCGTCTGGAGAAAGAGGTGAGGAAGAGCTCTAACTTAACTGTTTTCATTGAATGTTTGCCACCATCCCTCTACCCCCCAGGATTTCCCAACCTTGGCACTTTGGGCCAGAGTTTGTGGTAGGAGGGTGCACACATCTTGCGCACCTGGGGGTGTGTAGCAGCAGCCCTGGCCTCTCTCCCCAGCCACCAGCACCTGTGCCCCTGAGGGGAGTATGGATGGCCCGGCCCTGCCCTGCCCTGCCCAGTCCGTTTCCAGTAGTGACTAGATGTGAAAAACCAGAGTGTTTAAGAAAGAACTGTCACTTTAAGGGTGTGGGTGGATGGTGGTGGCCCTGGGTCTGGTGCCTGAGCATGCATGAGATGCCAAGACCAACGAGGGCCTCGAACAACAGCTCCCGTGCCCGACTGCTCACTGTGCCCACCGGTGCCATTGCAGGTGGCCGTGGTAAAGTCCGAGGACGTGGGAGCAGAGTTAGCCTCTGCTGGTGGGCAGCCCTCCCCAGCAGGCACCACTCCACAAGTGGTGACCCTCCACGTGGCAGAGCCGGGGGGCAGTGTGGCAGCCGAGAGCCAGCTGGGCCCCTCTGACCTCCAGCAGATCACCCTGGCACCTGCTCCATTTGGCGGGACTGGCTACAGCGTCATCACAGCACCCCCGATGGAGGAGGGGACTTCAGCTCCTGGCACACCTTACAGGTGAGACTGCCCTACAGGCCTAGTCCCCAGGAGGCAGATGTCCTGATGTCTAGCAACTGGACCACAGCGGGCCATCGCCTGCTCAGGAGCTGCTATTTTCCTCCCACCCGGATATCCAGGCACTTGACACTCGGCTAAGCCATGTCCACGAGGTCCCTTATCTCACAAATGAGAAAACAGGCCGGGAGGTTATGTAACCCGCCTCAGGTCAGACCTGCGGTGGGTGAGGCTCGCCCCCCGGCCCTGTGCCTTCACAGGTCAGGTGCCGTTATTTGGGGCGCCCAGGTGCAACCTCAGAGCCAGCTCAGGCTCCTCGCTGGCATGGGGGCCCAGTAGTCCCTGGCTTCCCATACACTGAGTGAGCAGAGGCAGAAATGCTGTGCTCACCCAGGCCCTGGGCCACCCTACATGTGGCTTCACTTTGCTCAGAGGGGCCAGGACCCAGAGACCCAGGCAACCAGTCTCAGCGTCCGCACTCTGCTCCAGCAGGCCAGGCCCTTGCCAGCCCCACCCACAGGCCCGCCCAGCCTCTCAGATCAGATTTGGGTTGGACCCCCTGGGGCGCTCAGCCTCCCCATCAAGGGGGGCAGGGGATTATGGTGCTTGAGCAGGGCCAGGCGCTGGACACAGTGACCACTGGTGGAAGGAACCTCGGAGGCTCAGCTGGTTAGGGCAGCGCACAGGCGTGGGCAGGAAGTCCACCTCGGGTGGCCTCCCCACCACTGGTGTGTTTCTCGCAACGGGGCTCTGCCACCCTCCACCGTCTTCTAGAACCCTGCCCCTCCCTTCCCCTGCCCTGTGTCCACAGTGAGGAGCCCCCAGGGGAGGCAGCCCAGGCAGTGGTGGTGGGCGACACCCTGAAGGAAACCGGCACACACTACATCATGGCCGCCGACGGGGCTCAGCTGCACCACATCGAGGTGAGCTGGAGCAGCCAGGCCCCATGCCCTGCCCTGCGCCTCCCGCCCCCTCCCCAGCACCTCACGCTCCCCTCCTCTCCACAGCTGACGGCAGATGGCTCCATCTCCTTCCCCAGTCCTGATGCCCTGGCCTCTGGAACCAAGTGGCCCCTGCTGCAATGTGGGGGGCTGCCCAGAGAGGGCGTTGAGCCCCCATCTCCGGCCAGGACTCACCGGGTTGGGGATCCCCAGGGCTCTGCCTCTCCTCCTCCTGCCGCCCACAAGGCCGTGGGCCTGGCAGTGCCCCCCTCACCGCCCTCTGCAGCCACTACGGTGTCCAAGAAGTTTTCCTGCAAGATCTGCGCCGAGGCCTTCCCCGGACGAGCTGAGATGGAGAGTCATAAACGGGCCCACGCCGGGCCTAGTGCCTTCAAATGCCCCGACTGCCCGTTCAGCGCCCGCCAGTGGCCTGAGGTCCGGGTAGGTGCTGCCCGCAGCCAGTCTGGCACACATTCGGTTTGCACAACCACCCTGCGCCGGCAAGCCCCTCGAGCCCGGCCAGCGGCAGAGTCCGCGTGCACCGCCCCAGGCTGGTCTGGTCTGCACTTGCAGCCCCTCCCTGCCCCGCTTTAGCTGCGCGGGCTTCCTGACCCAGCGCTGCCCTGCCCTGCCCTTCCTCAGGCCCACATGGCGCAGCACTCCAGCCTGCGGCCCCACCAGTGCAGCCAGTGCAGCTTTGCTTCCAGGAACAAGAAGGACCTGCGGCGCCACGTGCTGACCCACACCAACGAGAAGCCTTTCGCGTGCCACCTCTGTGGGCAGCGGTGAGGCCGGGCCCAGGCGCTGGGGCTCCGGGCCTGCAGGTAGGGCGGCCCCTGAGCCTGCCTCCTCCCCCGCAGCTTCAACCGGAAGGGGCACCTCAAGTTCCATGTCCAGCGGCTGCACAGTCCCGACGGGAGGAAGACCGCGACCCCTACCACCCGGGCTCCTGTCCGCACCCCCACCCAGACCATCATCCTGAACAGTGACGACGACGCACTGGCCACACTGCACAGTGAGCTCCCCGGAACCCTGGGCGGGCCAGAGGTGCACCCCTGCGCACTCAGGGTAGGGTTGGGCCGCTCAGCGAGCATCCTCCCTCTCTGGCCAGCTGCACTCCAGTCCAGTCACGGTGTCCTGGGCCCAGAGCGGCTGCAGCAGGCACTGGGCCAGGAGCACATCATTGTGGCCCAGGAGCAGACGGTGGCCAATCAGGTGAGAGCCTGGGGTGTGGCCTGCCGCTAGCTCAGACGGGCGGGGTGCATGAGAACTGCCCTACAGCAGGCTTGGTCCCGACAGGAGGAAGCCACCTACATTCAAGAGATCACCACAGCAGACGGCCAGACGGTGCAGCACTTGGTGACCTCAGACAACCAGGTGAGCTGCCGCCCCCTCCAGAACCCCACCCGGAGGACGGTCCTTTCCAAACCCCTTCCCCGCCACTTGTCACTGCCACAGTTGATGGCCTCCGTCCCTATCCCCGCTCCACCTGCCCAGCTGAGCTCCTGGTGAGGGTCCCGCCCTGCCTCCTCTCCACCCTTCAGGTGCAGTACATCATCTCCCAGGACGGGGTGCAGCACCTGCTCCCCCAGGAGTACGTCGTGGTACCGGAGGGCCATCATATCCAGGTAGGCCAGGCCTGGGGCCCAGGGCAGGGGCCAGGGCCCTCGGCCGCGCTCACGGTGGCTGCTTCTCTCCAGGTTCAGGAGGGCCAGATCACACACATCCAGTATGAGCAGGGGGCTCCGTTCCTTCAGGAGTCCCAGGTAGGGCCCGTGGGGGCCCAGGTGGAACTGGGCAGAGGTGGGGCTGCTGCAAGGCCCCATCTCACTGGCTTGTCCCTCCAGATCCAGTACGTGCCTGTGTCGCCAGGCCAGCAGCTTGTCACCCAGGCCCAGCTAGAGGCGGCAGCACACTCGGCCGTCACAGGTATGGGATGGCCCGAGGACTGCGAGAGCCCAGGGCCCAGGCCTGCTCCGGGGCCTCGGCTCACCGTCCTCTCCCTTCCTCTGGCAGCGGTGGCTGATGCTGCCATGGCCCAGGCCCAGGGCCTGTTTGGCACAGAGGAGGCAGTGCCCGAACACATCCAACAGCTGCAACACCAGGGCATCGAGTATGACGTCATCACCCTGACCGATGACTGAGCCCCAAGGGCCCACGACAGACCATGGATTATCGGGGCCAGCCCTGCTTGGGAGGGGAGGGAGGAGGCAGTGGGAGCTGCCTCCCTGTCCCACCTAGGTCTCGACACCGACACCGGACAGCCAGCATGCTGGCGTCCCAGGGAGCCAGGCCTGTGCCGCTGGGGTTGAGGGAGTCATGGGCCCCAGCCAGGACATGCTGGGTGCCCCAGCCTGCAGGCAGGCTTTGGGAGAGAGATTTATTTTTGTTTGGATGGAGCCTCTGTCTCAATAAAGGGACCAGAGTCCAGCCCCCGCTGGCTTGCTTTGTCCATTCGCTGCTGAAGTCTGAACCAGGCAAAGGCTTGGGAAGCAGGAAGGAGCCATGGGGTGGGTGGGTGAGTGCCCGGCCCCAGGGCCGCTGGCCCACCACTGCTACGGACCGCGGCCCTTGGCAGTGGCCTGACGCAGGCTGGCTGAGCCAGTGAGAACCTCACCAAGCCTTGAGACCCCGCTTCATCTCCCGGCACCGAGGCGCACGTGCTCCCTGCAGAGGGGGAGTCAAGGGTGCGAGCCTGCACCCCGAGGCCCGTGGTGGTGCAGAGCTGCCGCTCCTCTCCATCAGACCTGCTGGTAGACATGCCCGGTGGCCATCCCTGTTGGGGCGCCAGGGCCCACAGGCTGCGGCTTTCTAGCAGGAACTGGGTGCAGTGCCTCGTCCTCACCCTGGAGGCCCAGCTGTGGGGAACTGGGCTTGCCGGACAGATGCTGAGGGGGGTCCCCAGGGCACAGATGGGATGGCCAGTGAGAAGCGGACACTGGAGCCGAGCCCTGCTGGCGTGGTGTGAAGGCCTGAGAAGGGGTCCTGAGAAGGTGGCCTCGGTGGGGTGGGTGTGGTCCCAGTACTCCAGCTTCCTCAGCTTTCTCTGGCCTCGAGACCTCACACGTTCTTGGGGGCGTTTCTGTATTTTCTTTTACAAATGAACAAGGTGGCCACAGGATGGAGGGGAGGAGGGAGGATGCTGGGGTCTATTTACAGGGTCTTGGAGTGAGTCTGAGGTGGGAGGTTGGGGGAGGGGCAGGGAGGGGAGCCCTGACGGCCGTCCTCTTCCTATGTCTCTGGCAGCCTGAGTCCTGCTGCCACCCCAGGTGAGGGCCCCGGGGTCCGCTCAGCCCCAGACGCCCGAGTCCCAGCAGTCCGGAACAGCACCCTGGGCCCTTCCTCCCCGCGGGATGTGTTAAGTGGGGTGAGGTTCACGGCTAGGGCCCTGCTCACGGCCCGAATCCCGGTCCCTGGCCTCGGAGGAGCTGGAGGAGCTGGAGGAGCTGGCGCCGTGGCTGCGGCCTGACTGGCGGTAGGCAGTGCTCAGCTCCTGCAGCCGCTCGGGGGTCGGCCCCCACTTGGCAAAGCCAGGGTCGTTCTGCAGGAAGAGCACCGCTGTGTTGTAGACGGCCTTGTAGTGCATCTCTTCCCTGCGGACAAAGGCGGTTGCTCAGGTTGGGGCCGGACTGGCCTGCCAGCCCTCCCCGTCCTCCCAGGCACCCACTTCTTGCAGACGTGCTGGGAGCCACTGCGGTACTCGTGCTCAAAGGCGGGCAGGACCAGCTGGTGGCGTTTGAAGCGGCTCTGCTCCATGCGGGTGAGCGCTGGGGTGGGGGGTTCCCGCCACTCGGGGATGAACACGATGAAGGACAGCGGCTCCACCGAGCTCTCGAGCAGTTTCTGTCGACGGGGCACAGGTGGCCTCAGGGGCTGCCCTCCAGCTGGCCGGCCTGCTGGCCCCCACCCTCAGCAGCAGCAGACCCACCTCGAAGTGAGAGACCATGGCATCCATGAGCTCCTCGCAGAATGGAGGGTTGGCCTCAAAGGAACCACTCAGCGGGGAGAAATCCAGGCAGGGCCTGGGGACAGGTGAGCGTTGAGTCCCGCCAGGACCCCCAACCCAAGACGGGCCTCCCCCACCCGGCAGCCTTCCCCATGGAACGGAGACCGGCCCAGGCTGGGCGGGTCAGGCGCTCCGACTGCTGCACCGCAGCTCGAGTCCAGAGATCCCAGCGCCGGGCTTCCCCTCCTGCTGCCCGGCCCGTTCCTCCTACGCTAGATGCCGCCTACGCTCCTATCCCAACTGTGTGAGCCTCGAGGTCTCTGAGGTCAGGGTCACCCTCTCAGTTCCTGGAAATAGGACTTCCTGCTACTGAGCTGACTCACTGAAACACGAGACACCCCAAGTGCAGGGACTGCACCCTCGATGGCCCACACACACTGGTGCGATCTGTGCCCCAGCGGACTGCTCCCCAGGCCTGGGCAGGACAGAGCCCAGCAGCCCCTGGCTCTCACCCTCGGGAGCCAAAGTAGCCGTCTGTGTCTGGGAAAGCGGAGCAGTACTGGCGGAAGTAGCAGTTGAGGGGCGAGGCGAAGCACTCAAAGCTGACGCCGAAGAGTCGGTGGAGGGCCTCGAAGATGTGCACGGGCAGCGACCCCTGCAGGCCTGTGCCCTCGTACAGGCCCATGCCGAACATCATCTGCAGAATGCCCACGGTCAGACTCCGGGACTCAGTCTGTGCCCCTCCGGGGAGACCCCCTGTGGCTGCCCCCCGGCTGTACCTGGTACCGCCGGAGAAGACACCAGACTCGGGGCAGGAACCTCTCGAAGGCAGAGTCATCGATGCAGCTGTAGCGGTAAAGGAGCCACTGTGGGGCAGAAAGCGGCGGCTCCAGCGGCGGCCCTGCAGCCTCGCAGCCGGCCTCGCGGAGGACTCTGGGTCAAGAAAGCCCAGCCCACTTCCGCTGTGCTGCTTCTCCCGCACCCCAGCTCTTACCAGCTTGCTGAAGTAGTTGCGGCTGACCTTGACCATCTCCCCCTTGTACCGGATGCAGACCACGTTGTTCTCCACGTGCATCTCCACGCTGGGCATGGGGGGCGCAGACACGGCCAGCCGCACAGGGTAGCAGTACACCAGGCGGGGCTCCACCTCCGGGGCTTCCACCTCCTCTGTGGGCGGGAGGTCACTGGGCTACCTGCCCCGCTCTGCTGGTCCTCGCCTGGACAGTCCACACCTGTGCGCGCCAGGTGCCCTACCCACACACCCCGGTGACCAAGGGAGCTCAGTCACCCCACGGAGCAGTAGAACGTGGCGCGGAGGACTTGGCGCCAGCAAGCAGCATGGGCGGGGACGTCAGCACGCTCCTTAGAGCACAGACCCGGAAGGCAGGCTTGGGGCCTGGCAGGCAAGTGGGCGCCGGCCTACGGGCTCGCTAACCTGCAGACGTCTCAGCAGTCACACGGCCTCACTTTTGGAGTCAAACGCTACGCTAAGCTAGCGCTGAATTGTAGGTGTACAACCAGGTCTTTCACCTCAGTCTGGAGAAAGGGAGGTTCGCTTAGAGGTGTAAACGCAGGTCCTCCCGGTGCTGGCCCTGCCTGGCTCTCGCCTCACTGTTTCCTAGAGGAATGCCGAACTGCACAACAGGTCTGGCCCAAACTGCTGGATGAGTGGGTGTCCCCAATCCCGCCTGTGGCCTGGCGGTCAGCCCCCCTTCGGTCAGGGCTGGGCTGAGTTGCGGCACCACAACACAGTTACTATCGTGAGGTGCGAACTGGCCTGCCGCCCGGTCCTACCTGGGATATTGTTTTCCTTGAGGATGGCAAGGTGCTTCTCTCGGATCCGTTTGACGTACTCCAGGGAGATATGGTAGATCTTGCTGCAGATGCCTTCCACGGAGTCCTTGGCTGCAGCCGAGACGTGGGGGCCACATTGCCTGCGTAGATGCTCCAGGCGGTCCTGGAGGAGACACGCCCGGTCAGGGCTCGGGGCCCTGGCAAGGAGGGCTGCTAGGCCCCAGCTAGCGCATCTTCACACTGGCTCTGCTAACTTACTAGCTACAGCACCTGGACAAAGCCCTTGGTGTCTCTTTTATTCCTCAACTGCGAAGTGAACATGAAACACTCACCTACTAAGGCAGTTTGAATAGTAAACGAGCACTCCTATTAAAGCTTGACCAAGCCCCTGGCATACAGTAAGTGTCCAATAAATGCCCACAACTGTTGGGGTGACACCGTGCCAAGTCCCGTGACACTTACTGAGGAACACACAAGCCAGGCATGGCCCCCGCTTCTAAAGTATTTGCGGTCTACTGGGGAGAAGCACGGTGCAGAGTGGGCTGCCTAGTCATCACAGATCTGAAACGGAGCTTTAGTGCAGGGACAGCTGTCGGCATTTGTCATTCTGCTGAATCACGTGTGAAGCTGATGAGTGAAGATGAGTCACTCTGGCTAGTGCGCACACCTACCTTTGCCACACTCTACGTGTCAAGTACACAGTTACTATCGTGAGGTGCGAAACCTTGTCTCTTGTGAAAAATGGTCCTGAAAAGAAAGCCCGTTGCTAGTGCTGGTAGAGTTAGAGAAATGATGGGTTTAGGCCAGAAAACAATTGCTTGAGTCACACTTAAGTGGGGAAATCAGACCTCAACTGTAGTACGAATACACACGCCCAAGGAATAGCAGTTTGTCAAACTGTTCCCCAAAATCTACTCGCGGGAGATGGTGAACCTTAAGTTGCAGAGGCAGTAACTAGGATGTGTGGCCAAACACAGGATTTCCATTAAGTGTCTGAGGAATGTTCTCTGGGAGAAAGCTAACAGCCTGACAATCACCCCCACATTTGTGAATCCAGGGCTGATGCCAGTGCGCTGCTGTTTTGCACGAGAACGCTGTGCCCACCATCTCGGGTCCCCACGCGCAGCACGGGCTTCCTCAGGAAGCTCCAGGGCCTTCCACTGGCTTCCTTGCCCCGGGGCTGCTTACCATGTAGTCCTCCTTGGAGGCTGAGTGGTCCTTCCGAAGCCAGCTGAACGTGTCCTCCACGTTCCACTTGACCACCTTCCTGCTGTCAGGGGATGCGCTCCTGCGGGTGGTGGGCACATGAAGGGGCCGCTCAGCTCTGCACGGGGGCGGCTAGCAAGTGCCTGCTGCGCCCTCCCTTCCCCCACCCCACCCACTGGCATCTGGCCGTGGGCCCAAGGCTAACACAGCAGCCTCTGGGAGCTGACCCGCTTCTCCCACCAAGAGCAGTGGCAGCCTGAAAGGCCAGAGCACTCCCGCAGCCCCATCCTGTCTGGGGCAGAACACAGCAAACCTGGATTCAATAAGCCGCCTCGCGGCCTCTGCATACTTGAAAAGCAGGCGCTTGGCTTCTTCCCGGAACTTGATTCGGGATAACCTGGTCAGAACAGTAGCGTCAGCACCTTCTACGTGGGGCCGGGGATGCGCACCCATTGTCCCAGCGCGCACTGTACCTGATGGGAATGTCATTCATGATTTCTCGAAACATGGAAGGCGACACGACTGGCTCACAGTTGCTGGGCAACAGAGGGTCGGAGCCTTTGTCCACAACCTTGCGCTCCAGCATCCAGCGGTTGAAAGATTCCCGTGGGGGGTCAATGCCTGCAGGACAGGGCAGTTGAAGGCCGGGTGTAGTCAGCAGCCTCCAGGCTGCTGGGGATGCAGGAAGCCCCAGGTGGGCCCGGGGTACCGGCACAGGTGAGGAGGAGCTTGTGTTCTAGGTGACGTTTCCCGAAGTGCATCCTAAGAACCTCTGGTTTGTGTCCCGAGCGTTATGCAGGGGAGGAAGAGGAGTCTGGATTCTGTATTTCAGAAGAGCTAAGCAGGATTGTTTACTAGTGAATGCGCAGTTTCCCGACGACTTTTCCTTCCATTCCACTCCCCCCGGGGGCAACTCCAGGTCTGGTTACTCAGTGATGCCGGCGTCACACAGATGTGTGACAGGACTTCAGAGACCACCTGGCAGTCTAAGACTGCAACTGTTGACCATTATTTCTGTTCTGTCATCATGGAGACAGTCAGTGCCAACGCCTCCGGGTCTGAGCCAGCGGGATGCAGCGGGCTCCGCCCCGCCGCCCCAGCAAGCTCCTGCACCAGGGGCTGTGCTGTGAGCCGCGCCCGCCCGGCCAGCCCCCAGCTCTGCAGAGGCGGCAAAGCTCTGGGGAAAAGGAGGCAGAGGTCTGGGGGCTGTTACCCTCTCGCTGCTGGCACAGCTCCCGATAGTGTTGCCGAAGCTTCAGGATGAGCTGGGAGCGGAGCAGCTCCACCTCGGGGTGCGGGGGCAGCACCTCTGAAGGCCCCCGGTGCTTGATGACAGCATTGGTCTGAATGTCCAGATCCCAGTACACTCTGGGACACGGAAAGGAGCAGTAAGGGAAACAGGGACAGGGGAGGCCCCGCCGCCCCAGGCAGGCCGGCCGTCAGCAGTGGGCACCCCAAGCCAACCAGCTAAGACTCACTCGGTGGGTCGGAGGAGAGCTGCCTGCTGTTTATCTTCAGGGGATGTCCCCCAAATTTTCGTCGTTGGGGTTCCTGGGACGCTGGGGGAGCTGGGCACCGACGGGCCCGTGGGTGTCACAGGGATTTCGATCTACAGCAAGAGGCAGAGGCATCGGGTCAGGCGCCGGCCGACGGCTCGGCAGCCAGGTCTGGGAGCCGCAGACACTCACCTTGGGCTTCTTCACACCATTGCCGCGTGGCTGCTCTTCCGAGAGCTGCCGCTTTCGGGGCTTGTTCTCAGCCGGCGGGGGTTCCACCAAGCTTGAGTCTTGGGGCAGTGGGGTCGCATTCAGCCCCAAAGGGTCCGACTGGTGGAGGGAGACCAGCAGAGTTGCAACCAGGGCCGGTGGCTCAGGAGTCCCAGCACTGCAGAATCCTGATGCCCGCCTGCCCCCTGCTCCTCCTACTTGAAGAGCAGAGGGGGCTGGATGCAAAAATACTGGGCTCCACTCCCGCCGGCTACTTGCAACTGCGTGACCTGGGGTGACGGCCAGGCTAAGCGCCACCTCGTGATAGAGAGAACGACTGAACGAGCCAACGAATACAACTAGTTCAGCAAGACATCTGCCATGAGATCAGTGCTCAGTATGTTAACTTCTTTTCCTTCATTTCCTTAAGAGTGAAAGTCAGGAATAAGAGAAATGCTCATTGCTAAAGAGCAAGGTCCTGTGAGTGGAACTCCTTTGGTGGCACCGAGAAGAGCAGGCAGTGTGGCCCTGAGATGACATCACATGTGACTCCTGCTCTGCCCCTTCCTGGCTGTGAGGCCGGTCATGTCCCCAGTCTTCATCTGGAAAGCGGGGCTGCCGACTGGCGTGGTTATGCCCAGAGAGGAGAGCTGCCCCAGCGACGGGTCTGAAGCGCCTTCCCTCCCAGCCACAACAGCCTTCCCATCACACGGGAATTTCAGCCCCTGGGATGCGCCTCTTCCCTCTCGCCACTAGGTGCCACTTCGCTAACATCTTACCTGGAGCACTCCCAGAGAAAACCCGTCCTCCCTTCCCCAGACCAACCGGTCCCTGATGGCCTCTAGCACTTCATCCTGCTGGCACCCTTCAGGAGCCCAGGGGTGCAGGGCAGGGGCACGTCTGGCTTGTTCACAAGTGCCTCACAGGCACAGTGCCAACAGGTGGTGCAAGTTCAACGTCACACTAGTATAATCTGTTCTCTTGTCAGTCTCCCCTATTTGAATGGACGTTCCGTGAGGCAGGGACCGTCTTGCTTATCACCGTCTCCCCAGGCCCCAACACAGCTAGGCACAGAATAGCTGCTCAGGGTGTATTTGGGTAAGTCCGGATACCAGAGGCGACTCAGACCCTCGCCCTGGACTGGCACTCACAATCACATCGTGCTGACCCAGCACGGGCATCTCCCACAGGGACTGGTTGGTGAATCGGTTGAAGTAGTAGGGCCGGTTCTCCCTCCTGCTCCAGCACTTCTCCCAGCCCGCATGCACCAGCTCCTCTGCAAAGAGCGTGGACACCAGCCAATGAGCGCCACTCCGGGGCGGCCCTCCTGCCCAGCCACCCCACCGCTGCCCCTCGCCAGTACCTGGGAGGTCTTGCACCAGGCGGACGGGCTTTGGAGAACAGGGCTGGCTCTGACTGGAGGTGCCCGGGGAGTGGCTCAGCAGGGACGCTTCTTCCCGGGGGCTGCCGTGATTCTCATTGGCCATCTCAGCACCCACAACGGACCTGCCGCACAGAGGACCAAAAGGTGTCAAGGCCGGCAGCACACGACGGTCCACGCCCCCTTCCACCCACCAACTACAATCCACTGAGGGACCCAGTGGCCACTGCAGATGTAAAGAAGTCAGTTCAGGGCCTACCGGTGGCACAAGGGGTTAAGTCAGCACGACGAAGCTACCTGCAGCCACTGCAGCACGAGCTCCATCCCCAGCCAGGGAGGTGACCCACATGGCGCGGCAGACTTCCTTGTCTCCCCCGCTGTTCCCCTCAGCAGTGGATCTAAATCCACCTGTTCTGCTGCCTACTCTGTCTCTGGAGAAATCTCACACGACCCCACCCCTGCACCTCTGGCCCGTACCCCAGCTCTTCTATGTACAGATAAATGATTTCTAAAAAAGTCAGTGCGGCCCTGTCGTGGGCCAGCATGATACCACAGGAGCCCTGGGATTGAGGTGCAGTCCCCCCAACTGCCCAAAGCCTCTTTCCCTACTTTTCTGCCTGGACTGCTGCAGGTTCCCATCCTCCAGACGGCCCCCCTTGACTGCATTTCCCAAACTAGGTGGCCAGAGCCCTGCAGGGCCATGAACACCTCTAGTTAGTACCAGCAGTCTGGCCTGTCTCAGTTCTCAGAGCCAGGAAATGGGTCCAGCACCACTTTCTCCAGTGCTCACGCACAGCACCTGGGCCCAAGGGGAGTTCTATTCATTTTGCAAATGTTCACAGTCCCAAGAGCAATATACAAGACAGAACAGGGTCTGCTCTTAAAAAGCAGGAAGGGGCCCTCCCTTGGTGGGGCCGCAGTGAGTGAAAGCGCAGCACTACAGGCTAGCGGCAGCCGCTTCAGTGCCGATTTGAGCTCTGGCCCCGGAGATGACCCACATGGCGCAGCAGACCTCTCCTCTCTCACCCCATCTGCCTGTTCTGCTCCCCACTCTGTCTCTGGTGAATCCTCTCATCCTCACATACCTGGCCTATACCGCAGTTGTGTATGCATAAAGAAATCTTTAAAAACAAACAAACAAACAAACAAACAAACAAAACAAGAAGGAACAGTAATTGCTCTTTCCTGCTCCCACCAGTAAAATCTAACTGGACAGGTAGGCCCAGGAGGGACATGGCCTCTAGTCAGAGGCCCCATTCTACCCTACAGGGCAGGAAGCAATCTGCTGCTAAAAGAACCAGTGGGACTGAAAATAACCACCCAATTCAGCCCTTCACAGTCCCCCAGGGAACATCCCCTTTAAATACCAGCAGGAAGGGCAGCTCCTTCAGATCTGTGTCCCAGCCACCCCCCCAAAGCACACCCAGCACAAGCCTCAGTGGCCAGAGTTCCCACCCAGCATGTTAAGACTCCTGGGGCCAACTGAGCCATGTGGCAATGTTGTTATTTTCATACATCATACACGCAAAGAAAACCAAACATTTACCCACAAAAAGATCACAAATGCACATTTAAACTCAGTTATCTGCTGCAATTTTATCAACCTGGGGCCACAAGAATCATATGCTGACCAGAGCTCTAAATGGCTGTTGAAGACATCACCGAAATCATTGGGACATTGATTTTATTGTACAGTCAGTCATAGATGGCTCTGTTAACTTGGGCTGGGAAAAGTAAATGGTTGTTTCACAGGTACAATTTAGCAAATAAAAACGCAAGGGGACGAATATACAAGAAAGGAGGGCTTGGATGACAGTAGGATTTGGCACTGCCGACCATGGGCAGAAAATACTTAGCTGCCTCAGCTCACAAGGGAGGAGGGATCCCCTGTGCCTCGGAGGCCGAGCCCATAGGTGTCAAGGCTGACCGAGGTCCCTCTTTTCTCACCCTCTGAGGTCTGCAACGCTAGCATGAGAGGGTTTTCGTCTCCAGCTGGTTGGATCTCACGTCACGAGGCCCCACAGAGGCAGGCCCAGGCCCGAGAGAAGGCGCAGCACGGTGGGTGGGCGGTCAGCAGCAGAGCGAATACGGGTCCATTGGGTTCCTTGCCTCGACAGCTGGAGAGCAAGTAGAAGAAAAAAGTCACAGACCTGTGAAATGCGGAACAGGGCCAGGAGCAAGCGGTAAGGACACAGAGCAGGCTGGGAGTTCCCAGGACAGGGCAGAACAAACTGGCAGATCTGGAGGCTGATGGGGTGAAAACCGTATGCCTCAAGCTTCCAGCCAACAGGTGCGCCTTCACCAGCCTGCAGCCTGCACAGTGCACAGCAATGCTTGCTTTAATGTCAGTGTCTTGAAAATCTTAATTTGGTAACAAGGGGCCCACATTTTCATTACACACTGTGGATCTGGTCCTGTCTATCTACCACTAAAATGAAAGAAAAATGACTAAACATACACATCACAGATCTGAGGGCACAGTCCCAAGCCACCCACAGCCAGTGAAACACACATTTCTTTGATTTGGGTAGTTAAAAAAAAAAAAAGCAAATGTATTATATAAAACGTGTTATTTTACTGAAAACTATTTCCCCACAAAATGTTGTGTGATATTGACATACTAGAGGCAGGATGCGAGCAGCAGTTTGGGGAGACCGACTGGGAACGCTACAAACTGCCTGTGCACCCAAACCGTCTGGGACTTATAAAAAATCTTCAGATTCCAGTCCCTCCTTCCACACCTAAGAAGTCAGAAATGGAGAGAGGAAGTACACGAAAAGTCGCATACTTTTTAAAGCATCCCAAGAGTAGGACCTGGAAAAAGAATGACTATTTTGTTCACTTTACACCGTTTAAGCCTTTCTGATTTTTTACGACTAAAAAAAATATGGGTAACTGCCCTGGTGATCCGCATGCAGCAGGTCTGTCGTCAAGATACCAGCTCCGTGTGAGGACAGACCGGGGCTGCAGCCTGGGCCCAGCGTTCTGACTTAGAAATAAGAAGGACTCAACCTCTGCGGTCTCTATGCGCAGCCTGGCACATGGCTCACTCTCAGTAAGGGATCACGGCTGTGATTATTATTTTTAAATTTATTTATGGATACAGAACTGGGGTACAGGCCAGAGGTGCAGGGGCGGTGAGGGGATTCACCAGAGACAGAGTGGGGAGCAGAACAAGCAGATGGACTGAAGTACACTGCTGAGGGCAGCAGCGGG